AAAAAAAAAAGAGAAGAGGATAGAGAAAGATAGCAAGTGAACAATAGAGGGGATGTTAGTGAGAAACAGATATGGTTTATTATCTGTTGAAGATGACGTGTATAGTATTCTCAACTGGACTGGTCTGGGAAGTATTTCATGATGGGTGAAGTCTTTTAACAAGCAAAATGAGAAATAGTGATTGACTGTTTTAAAAAATTATAATAATAATAATTATTGGGAAATGCATGGAAAAGACTTTGAATGATAAAGCGGGGAGATCGATGCCTCTGTATTGACTGACATGCATGGCATTCCCTTTTGAAAAAGCAATGGAAGTCAATGTAAAGTTATATGTAATCCAATGTAATATAAAGAAGATTATGATGATAATAAATAAAAAATAAAAAAATTAAAAAAAAAATTATTTACTTAGGGACCAGCAGATAGCATAATGGTTATGTTGCTGGATTCCCACGTAGCCGACCGCGGTTTGAGTCCCAGACCCGGTGGCTTAAACTCACGCCGGGTGTGAGCGTGCGTGCCCAAGATCCCAAGAAGAGAATGGAGGAGAAGGGATTGCGACGTGGCCATCTCCCCCTGGGGGGTGATTTCTCGCTTTCTGTCTCTCTGTCTCTCTCTGTCTTTCTGGCGAGTGCACGCGCCCTATAGCAAATACCTCTCCAAAAAAAAGAAAAAGAAAAAATTATTTAATTTAATTTATTGATTTTTATTATTTTTAAAAAATTGACCAGATAGAGACACAAAGAGAGACATAAAGAGAGAGAGAAAGAGGAAAAGTTAGAAGGCAAGCCTCTAGGTCCAGGACTAAACCACGGCCAGACATGTGGGAATCAAGCAACTTAAACACCATGCCACCTGCTGGCTCTTGGATTTCAATTTTAAAACTAAAGTAGTGGGGCCAGCAGGTGGTGTGATGGCTAAAGGCTCTGGACTCCCACATGGCCAACTATGATTCAAGTCCTGGACCTGGTGGCTTCCTTTCTCATGTAATAGAAAGAAGATTATGATGATAATAAAATAAAAAAAAAATAAAAAAAAAATAAAAAAAAAAAAAAAAAAAAAAAAAAAAAAAAAAAAACCAAAGCAGGCTGGGCAAGCTCTGTGGTACAGCAGTAATACACTGCTCAAGACATCCCTAATTATGGCACCAGCAGTTAGCATAATGGCTATGTTGCTGGACTCCCACGTAGTCGACCGCGGTTTGAGTCCCGGATCCGGTGGCTTAAACTCACGCCGGCCGCGGTTTGAGTCCCGGATCCGGTGGCTTAAACTGACGCCGGCCACGTGTGCGTGCGTGCCCAAGATCCCGAGAGGAGAATGGAGGAGAAGGGATTGCGGCGTGGCCATCCCCCCTGGGGGGGATTTCTCGCTTTCTGTCTCTCTGTCTCTCTCTGTCTGTCTGGTGAGCGCATACGCCCTATGGCAAAAAAAAACCTCTCCAAATAAAAAAAAAACGATATGCCTAATTACTGGCCAGCAGGTCGCATGGTAGTTAAGGTGCCAGTTTCTCACATGGCTGACTGCGGTTTTGAGTTCTGGACCTGTAAACTTGAAAATCAAACTGGATGTATGTTTTGCTAGGACTACATTTAAAAAATATATTTATTTAATTTTATTTATTCTTCTTCTTCAATTTGACCAGAGAGAGATTGAAAGAGAAAGGGAGAGTGATAGTGAGAAAGCAAGCCACCGAGTCTGGGAGTTGAACCGTGGTTGGCCATATAGGAATCCAGCGTTTTAACCACCATGCACTTGCTGGCCCATACTATGACTACATTTTACTTTAACCATTGACATTTTAGCATCCATGGTCTATTGTGTCCAAGTTAAACAAAATACACGCCAGATTTTGAAGAGGTTAGTGTAAAAATAATGTAATAATATGACCAATAGTTTTTATATTGATTATCTGTTGAGATCATTATATGTATAGTATATTGGATTAAGTAGAATAAATTGCTAAAATTAATTTTTTACTATTCTTTGATGAATGACAAAAAATATTTTAAACGACATAAGAGGCTCACATCATTTCTATTGTAAAGTCTGATCTAGAGAATTGGGATTTTTTTTCTTGCCATAGGGCGTGTGCACTCGCCAGACAGACAGAGAGAGACAGAGAGACAGAAAGCGAGAAATCACCCCCCAGGGGGGATGGCCACACTGCAATCCCTTCTCCTCCATTCTCCTCTCGGGATCTTGGATACGCACGCACAGCGCCCGGTGTGAGTTTTTAGCCACTGGGTCCAAGACTTGAACCGCGATCGACTATGTGGGAGTCCAGTGACATAGCCATTACGCTAACTGCTGATCCCTTATTTTCTTGATAATGGTTTGTTTCTCCACTGATTTGTTACAAGCTGGGCAGGGGTTGTAAGATCTGTCTGGCCACATGAGGCCCCAGCTTAGAACAGGGCCCAACAGCATACACAGTTAGGAAAGTGCGTGCTAGCCCAGCACAGTACTGGCCCCAGAGAGGTGCTCAGGGGACAGCCATCCCCTTCGCCCCTTACATCGGTGGGCTCTTCCAGCCTGTCTTGTGTCCGGGTGTAGAAAATGAATGCATCATCCCTGTCCAGCAGGAGAGTTGCCAGAGTTCAGTGAGATCCCAGAATCCCCCGGTGTACCTTGGAAACTCTGAGACACAGAGGAGCTGGCCCCTAGAGTTCTGCAACCAGGGAAACCAAGGTGACTCTGCCCCAACTCCCATCAGGCCTCTTCCTAGAGAAGTTATTTTTTGACACCGAGTGAATTCAGATATTAATATCTAAAAGAGATTTTCAGGAGCGGTGTTGGACCCCTGGGGCTGTGCAGTGATGTTTTACCCAACAAGTGGCACCCAGGCCACCCACGCCTTGGGTACAAGTCTCAGTCCCATTATAGATCCCTCCCCTCTCTGAGCCTCCATTATTGCCATTCTGTTAACTGAGTACCTACTGTACCACATACTGTTCTGAGCATTTGACCTGCCTGTCTTCAAAAGGCTCTTGGAGGGCCAGCCAGGTGGCTTGGTGGTTAAGGTGGCTGGACCCCATATAGCCAACTGCACGGTTCGAGTCCTGGACCTGGTAGCTTGAGAAACACACATGTGTGTATGTGCCCAAAATCCTGACAAGGGGTTACAACGTGTCATCCCCACGGGGTATTGATGTGTCACTTTCTTTCCCTCTCTGTTTGTCGGTCTTTGGTGACTGCACAGGCCATATAGCAAAATTAAAAAATAAATAAACAAAAGTTCATGGAAAATGTATATTATAAAAAACTAAGCGTGGATTTAAAAATTTTTTTGCAAATACACATATACGTTAATTCCACTTTTCCATGAACTTTTGAAGTTCCCTCCTGGTATGAGGTTTAATCTTCACAGCAGCCCTATGAAGTGAGCACAGTTATGAGTCAGTTTTATGGAGAAGGAAACTGAGGAAGGGTTTGACGTAGCTTTGCTGAAGTAGCACAGTGGGTTAAAGAGGAGGGTGCGCTCTTAGGGGTAGCTTTAGGTGCTTGTTCTGAATGTGGGAAGCTTACAGATTTTTGGTCTCCCCAGCGCACCAGTCTGGCTCTTTTGAGCCCAACCAGAGTCAGCTTTCAGTTCTAGTTAGTTGGTTAGTTTTAGTTAGTTTTTTAGCGTAGGGCCTGCGTATTCTTTAGAGAGACAGATGGACAGTAAGAAACCACCGCCCATGGTAATGGCCATGCCACAATCCCTTCCTCCCCCATTCTCTTCTGGGGATTTGGACACACACTCACTTACACACACTTGGAGTGAGTACCCATGTGGGAGTCCAGCACTGTAACCACCAGGACACCTGTTGGTCGCAGCTCTTGGGTCTGAGACTCTGCACTTTCTCACAGCTGGACCTCATGCTGGCTCGCAACAGAATGAAGCTTCTGGCCTGCCCAGTGTTCTCCATAAGGTTTAATATTTCTGGCAATGATGGAAACATGCTTTTTAAACGGGAAGAACCCAGGAAACAGTCACGGTTTGCTCTTCGTCTCTGAGAAGGAAGAGTGTCTTCCCATTACATAGATTGGGAAACTAAGACTCAGAAAAACAAAACGTTTGTTCCCAGTGGCTGGTGTCTGTGTTCAAAGTCTAGGCACCCGGAGGGGATGGAGGACTAAGTGAGGACCAAACGCCCCAGCCGGCCCTCCAGGCCCGGGGTCCAGGGGGCGGACCGCACCAGAGTGGGCGGGGCGGAGCGCGCCGGGGTGGGCGGTGACCCGGAGAGGCGGGGCACCAGGATGGTGTAATTCTCGGCCCAAAGGCATCAGGCAGTGGCTGATTAGCTCAGGTTTACATCACCCAGCCGGGGAGCCGGAGCTAGGGGCCCAGCGCCCACCGCACACTCGCAGCGGAAGCGGCGTCGGGTCCGCACGCGTCCGAGCTAGGAGCGGGGACTGGGGCTGGACCGGGATCCGGCGCTCAGACGCAGAGAAGCTGGCCCCTGTCCATCCGAAGGGGCCCTGACCTGGACATCCGTGGAGCGCGGCCTCTGATCGCCTGCGGCTCCGGGACCCGCGCGGGACGCCGGGGCAAGGTACCCAGCGGTGGGCCGGAGAGTGGACCTGAGCGGAGGCTGGCGGGTTAGAGAGGGCGGCGAGGGCAGCAGGGGCGTCGGGAGCCTCTAGGCGTCTGCGCGTTGCTATGTGTTACATACACTCACACTCACTCACACTCACACTCACACACACACACACGCGCACCTTTCGTCAAATCCGGCTGGCCGGGGGCCGCCTGGGCCGAATGCCCCCCATCAGGTCTCAGGTGACCCGGCTCCGCAGGGCGTGGGGTCGTCCGAGTGTGGCCGAGTCAGTCTGGGACAGGGGTGGACACTCGCGGAGTGCGGCGGCTGTGTCCTGGGGGCGGGGAAGCGGGGACAAAGTCCGGCTGTCATCCCAGAGAGGGGCGTGCAGTTGTCTGAGTTTCGTGTGAGTTTGGGGTAGTTTAGTTGTGTGGTTAGTGATGGGAGGTCTGTGTGTGCGCGGCCTTTGGGTCACTGGAGGACTGGGAGGATCTGTGTATTTGTGTGTGTGGGGGGGTGGGGCTCTGCGGGGTCTCCGTGAGCCTGTTGTGGGTCTCGAAGGTTTGTGTCTTTGTGGATGGTGAGGGCTGGCTCCTGGGGCAGGAGTCGACTGTGCGGGGTCCCGGCTGGGACAGGGCTGGGGTGCTGGACGGAGAGCGGATGAGTGACCCGGGTGCGCTCCGGGCCGGGTCCACAGGTGTGCACCCGCGCGCGTGTGAAGCTTGTTCCCGTAGACGGTGTGTGTTGAACCTGCAGACTCGGGGCGAGGACCTGGGCGTGCAAGGGCACAGGCTGCCTGGTCCCCTTGCCCGGGGACCCAGCCTTCTCTTGGCCTCACCTTCTCCCTGTCCTGGGGCGGTCCCTCTATTTCCGCTGAACCTTCTGACTCCAGATACCCGACTCTCGCCGCTTCCGCTCCCACCGGAGGCGCCTGACTGCAGAAGGCGGGGCTGGGCGAGGTCAACAATTGCCCTCCAGTCGGCCGGGCATCAGGATGTGCGTGTGGCCGTGTGTGTGCATGTGGGCGCACTGCGTTGCCGGTGGAGGACGACGAGGTGTTTGTCACTTCATGATGTGTGTGTCAGAGGGGTGGCTTGCAGGAAGTGTGTTTGAAAGAAGTGCAGAGCCTGTCAGGCCTTTTGCCCGGAGTGTTCGGCGCACTCACCCCAGCCCCCGGCGCGGTGGGGCGGGAGGTAGCTATTAGGGGCTACCATTATTCTACAGCAGAGCTTCTGGTCCTGCGGTGGGGGCCTACGCAGACCCTCGCTCATTTGTAGTCTCCCTTTCCGCACCTGTCCAGGGCAGCTTAACCCAGCTCGCTGGCTCTAAGGGATGGATAAGCAGCCTGGATGTGGCCACTGTCCAGAGATCCAGTCTCTTGCCCTTTGGGGCATGAAGCACATACACAGCCTGAAAAACACCAAGCCCAGATCCTGGCCAGCTGGAGCCACGCCCATCCTCCCCGCCCCCTCCGTATTCTCAGGCGCCTGCAGCATGTTCTTTGCTTCATCCCTCTCCCTAGACAGCGGTTGCGGGACAGCAGCACCCACCTCAGGTGGGAACTGGTTAGAAAGGCAGGTTCCTGGGCCCTACTCCAGACCTTCTGAATCAGCTCCTGTGGGAGGCCTGTCCAGGGCTGCGTTTTGACAAGGCCTCCAGGTGGTGCCAATGGCCACTCAAGTGAGAGAACCCCTGAACTGAAATATGCCTCTCCACATCACCTGACTCTCCTTCAGCATTCAGATTAGAAACCACTGCTCCCAGGAAGTCCTCTCCTGACCCACCAACCTGGCAGAAAGGCCCCTCTGGGTTCTGCTTGTACTGTGCATGATTTTATGATAACAAGTCTGCCCCCCTATTCGGGAAGATCCGAAGGCGAGACTAGCAGTGGCCCAGGGCTGGGTTCAGAGGAGCTGCTCAGTGAGTGTAATGGGAATGGATATCTCAGGGCTGGCCTGTGGCACAGTGGGTAAGGGAACCAGACCCTACGCAGCCAACTGTATAGTTGGAATCCTGGTCCCAGTGGCTTGAAAAACACACCAGGCACATGTGCACGTATGCCCAAAATCCCTACAGGGTGGAAAAACGAAGGAGAAGGGATTGCACATTGCGGCATGATGCTGCCCAGCCTGGGGAGTGCTTTTTCTGTCCCTCTGTATCTCTGGCAAGTGCACACACCCTCTGGCAAAAGAAAAAAAAAACGATTGTATCTCTCTCATATCTGTGAATATACAGGATCCACAATTATGAGACTGGTTGATTTTTTTTTACCGTGATTTTTAGCAACAAGCTGTGTTTTCAAACAGGCATTCAATTCTTTAAGTGTAAATTTCTGATTAGGAAATATATTCATATGCGAGTATAGTATATTCACATGGTTCAAAATTCAGAAAGTATAAATATCTGCTTTTGATCTTATCCTATATCCTTCCAAAGTTTATATATTTAAACATATATATATGTATATATGTATACACATATATATAATTTTAAAAGATTTTTTTTTGCCAGAAGGTGTGTGTGCTCACCAGAGAGAGAGAGAGAGAGAAAGAGAAAAAATGAGAAAGCTCCCCTTCCCCAGGGGGAATGATTATCCCGCAATTTGTTCTCCTCCATTTTTCCCTCCTTTTGGGATTTTGGGCATGCATGCACGAGCACCTGGTGTATTTTTCAAACCCCCGGTTCCAGGACTCAAACTGTGCAGTCAGCCATTTTGGATCCTTAATCACTAGACCACAGGCCAGCCCTACTTATGTTTATATATATTCCATTTTACATAGAGCATTGTATACACATAATTCTGTGTTTTCTCCTTCCTTTATTACATCTTTAGAAATCAACATAGAAAGGGACAAGCAGATGGCATAATAATTGCGTCGCTGGACTCCCACATGACTGACCATGGTTCAAATACCGGACCTGGTGGCTTGAAACTCACGCTGGGCATGTGTGCATGCATGCCCAAAATCCCAAGAGGAGAATGGAGGAGAAGGGACTGTGGCATGGCCATCCCCCCAGGGGATGATTTCTTACTTTCTGTCTCTCTGGCAAACGCATGTGCCCCATGGCAAAAATCTCTCTGGAAAAAAGAAAGAAATCAGCGTAGAGAGTTTCCTGGCCCTTTTTCAGGGCTGTAGAGTACAGGCTGAGTATCCCTTATCCTAAGTGCTTGAGATCAGAGTGTTTCAGATTTTGGATTTTTTGTCAGATTTTGAAATATTTTCTTAAAAAATATTTATTTAGGTACCAGCAGTTAGTGTAATGGCTACGTCACTGGACTCCCATGTAGTCAACTGTGGTTCACGTCCTGGACCCAGTGGCTTAAAACCCACGCCAAGCGCGTGTGTGTGTGTGCCCAAGATCCCGAGAGGAGAAAGGAGGAGAGGGGATTGTGGCGTGGGCATCCCCCCTGGGGGGTGATTTCTCGCTTTCTGTCTCTCTGTCTCTCACTGTTTTGGTGAGCGCACGCGCCTTATAGCAAAAACCTCTCAAAAAATTATTTTATTTAATTCAATTTGTTATTATTTTTAAAATTTGACCAGACAGAGACAGAGAGAAAGAAAGGGAAAGTCGGGACCAGCAGTTAGTGTAATGGCTATGTCACTGGACTCCCATGGAGTTGACTATGGTTTGAGTCCTGGACTCAGTGGCTTAAACTCACACCGGGCACCCAAGATCCCCAGAGGAGAATGGAGGAGAAGGGATCACGGTGTGGCCATCCCCCCGGGGGGTGATTTCTCGCCTTCTGTCTCTGTATCTCTGTCTCTATCTTTCTGGCGAACACAAGCGCCCTATAGCAAAAACCTCTCAAAAAAAAAAACAAAAATGGAAGGGAAAATGAGAAAGCAAGCTACCAGGTCCAGGACTCAAACCATGGTCGGCTATGGGATTCCAGTGCCCTTAACCACCACGCCACCTGCCGGCCCCAGATTTTGAAATATTTTCATAAACATAAGGTCTCTTGGGGTGGGACCCAAGTCCAAATATGAAATTCACTTACGTTTCATACATACCTTATACACATAGCACTTTTCTACTACGGCATTTTCAATGTGACCCGTCACGTGAGAGTAGGTGTGAAATTTCCCACTTGTGATGTCCTGTCTGTGCTCAGAAAGTTTTAAATTTTGATTTTCAACTTAGAGGTGCTCAACCTGTATGCCACTGTAGGCTGTCTGTGAGTTTTTTTGGTTTTGTTTTAGTTTTTCTATAGGGTACATGCACAGAATGAGAGAGAGAGGAAAAGTGAGAAATCACTTCCTAGGGGGATGGCCACACTGCAGTCCCTTCTTCCCTTCTCCTCTTGAGATTTTGGGCACAAACGCACATGTGCCTGGTGTGTTTTTTCAAGCCAATGGTTCTGGGACTCTAACCACACAGTCGGTCATAAAAGGGCCAGTGTCTGAATCTCTAGGCCACTGGCTGGGCCTGTCCGTAAGTGTTTGTTGTTGTTACTTTTTAAAATAATTATTTAATTTAATGTATTATTATTAATTTTTAATCTGAACAGAGTGAGAAAGCAAGCCTCATGGTCTGGGAATCGAACTGCGGTTGGTCATGTGGGAGACTAGTGCCCCAACCACCATGCCACCTGCTGACCCCTATCCATGAGGTGTTAACTCACCTTGTATTGTTAAATATTTGCATTATTTCCTGTCTTTGCTATTAGACACAAGGCTCTGATGAGCAGCCTTTTACATAACTAATTTTTGTGTCACGTGTGAGAAGTTTAACCAGAGGATAAATTCCTAGAAGTGAGACACCGTTCAAGGGTGTGTGCTTTTGTCATTTTAACACACACTGCCTAATCACCCTCCCTACAGACTGCTAGTGTACCCGCCCACCCGCAGGGTAAGAGGGGGCCCCTAAGCAGCCTCGTTTTATTGCCTCTCTCCCTTTCTTTTTAGATGCGAGCCACCCCTCTAGCTGCCCCTGCCGGTGTCCCTTCCAAGAAGCGGTTGGAGTTGGATGAGGACTTAGATGCTGCTGAGTGTCCTGTCCGGAAACAAGCCCGAAGTGCACCCCCACCCGGGCTGCCTCCCTGTCTGCTGCCTCCAAGCCCACTCTCTGCTCCAGACCGTGCACCTGCTGTGGCCACTGCTTCCAGGATTGGGCCTTACATCCTTTTGGAGCTTGAGGAGGGTGGACAGGCCTACCGGGCCCTGCACTGCTCCACGGGAGTGGAGTATACCTGTAAGGTATGTCCTGGGCCACTCTGCCCCAAGCATCACAGGGCGCTAGGAGAATCTTGGCTCCAGAGGGTTGCCAAGGTGCTGAAGGGTGCTTATTCATCAACAGTTACAGAATCTGTAGGTGTTTAGTTTGTTGGCTTGTGTGCACTGTCTCCTGTGTTGGACTGTGGGCACCAGGGGGGCCAAGACCATGGCTACGGGCCAGTTAGATCCCCAGTGTCTGGCCCAGGTGGGCTCAGTGCCAGACTGTGGAATGAATGAAAGTGGGCAACTTTGATGTGACTGCATTATCAATTCTGGATTTCCCCTGCTTTGAGGGTGATTTTCCTTTTTGGGTTTCCTATTATTTTTCTATTAGCTGAGCATTTATTTATTTATTTGGAGAGGTATTTGCTATAGGGCGTGTGCACTCACCAGAAAAACAGAGAGACGAAGAGACAGAAAGTGAGAAATCACCCCCCAGGGGGGATGGCCACGCTACAATCCCTTCTCCTCCATTCTTCTCTCGGGATCTTGGGCATGCACATACACGCGCCTGGCATGAGTTTAAGCCACCAGGTCCAGGACTCGAACCATGCAGTCGACTATATGAGAGTCCAGCAACATAGCCATTACGCCATCTGCTGGCCCCTATTTATTTATTTTTTAAGAATTATTTAATTTGGGACCAGGAGTTAGCATAATGGCTATGTTGCTGGGCTCCCACGTAGTAGACTGACCACGGTTTGAGTCCCGGACCTAGTGGCTTAAAACTCACGCTGGGCGCGTGTGCCCAAGATCCCAAGAGGAGAATGGAGAAAAGATTGCTGCGTGGCCATCCCCACTGGGGGGTGATTTCTTGCTTTCTGTCTCTCTGTCTCTCTCTCTCTGTTTGGTGAGCACACTCTATAGCAAAAAAAAACTCTCAAAAAAAAGAATTATTTAATTTAATTTACAGTTATTATTATTCTTTAAATTTGCTATAGGGTACATGCACTCATCAGAGAGAGTGACAGAGAGAGAGAAGAGAAGTGAGACAGTAAGCCTCCAGGTCTAGAACTCAGACTGTGATTGGCCACATGAGAGCCCGGCACCTTAACCACCACCCCACCTGCTGGCCCCTCAATTAGCTTATCTTTAAGGCCAGACAAGGTAGCAGTTGAGAGCATGGATGATGAGAACTTAGGTCCAAATTCTAGCTGTGTTGCTTGTGAGCTGTGTGGCCTCTCAGAGCTCTTAACTGTAAAATGGGCCAAGTCATCCTACTCAGAGGGCTGGCGACAGGGTTGAGTGACTTAGTCATGAAGCGTTTGGCACGGGGCCTTGCACACCATAGCACAGTGGCTGGGTTAGCCACGTCCCAAGGCCTGCCAGGCTCCAGCCCCCAGCCGTGCTCACACCCTGCTCCACCCACAGGTGTACCCGGCCAGTGAAGCCAGGGCCGTGCTGGAGCCCTATGCGTGGCTGCCCTCCCACAAGCACGTGGCACGGCCCACGGAGGTTCTGGCGGGCACCCGGCTCCTCTACACCTTTTTCACTCGGACTCGCGGGGACCTGCACAGCCTGGTACGCAGCCGCCGCTGCATCCCTGAGCCTGAGGCCGCCATGCTCTTCCGCCAGATGGCCACCGCCGTGGCACACTGTCACCAACACAGTCTAGTCCTGCGTGATCTCAAGTTGCGACGCTTTGTCTTCACCGACTATGAAAGGTGAGCATGGCCACAGAGACCCTACCCACAGACACAGCCAAGAGGCGGGCATAATGGGGAAACTGAGGCCCAGGAAGACAAAGTGACTTAGGTAAGAAGTGAAGCCTGGACTAGTACTACTACCTGGTGTCCTGGGAGGGCTGACTCAGTCCTGTTGGGAGCCCTTGGGTAAGAGCGTTGCAGCTGTGACCCTCACACCAGCTGATAGTGAGGAAGGATCCCTGCGCTTACCTGACCTGGCCTGCATCCTGACAAGTACGGGGTAGCACTATTTTGTCTCACTATGATAGAAAAGGAACTGAGGCCCAAAGAAGTCCAGGAAACTGCCCAAGATCCTATAGCCAAATAAAGATAGAGCAGGGATTTGAACTCAGATCTGACTCCAGAGCCTGAATCCTAATTCACTCTGAGCCTGAGAGGCAGGGAGGTTGGCCGGGTTTACAGCTGGCCCAGTGTCTCTGAGCCTCAGTCTCCCCATACGTAGGGGAAACAGCTCGATTGTCTTTTTATTTTTTTAAGAATAATTTTATTCAACTTTATTTATTTTAATTTGGACAGAGAGAGAAAGAATGAGAGAGAGAGGGAAAGTGAGACAGTAAGCCACCAGGTCCAAGACTCGAACCATGGTTGGCCAGGTGGGAATCCAGTGCCCTCAACCACCCTGCCACCTGCTGGCCCCCATGGCTGGATTTTTAAAATATGCCCAGGGTTTCAAGGCCACAGGCAAAGGCCAGAACAAGGGCTAAGGCTACCCTCACAGAACCTCCGTGAGACTGAGAATTAAGAAAAGGTGACTCTCCTGGTAGGAGGGACAGAGGGACCCTGCATCCACTGGGATATTTCTTTTCTTTTTCTCTCTCTCTTTCTTTCTTTCTTCTTTCTTTCTTTCCCTCCCTTCCTTCTCTCTCTCTCTCTCCTACCTTCCTTCTTTTCTATTTTCAGAGGTTTTTGCTATAGGGTGTGTGTGCTCACCAGAAAGAGAGACAGAAAGCAAGGAATCACCCCCCAGGGGAGATATCCAAACCGTAATCCCGTCTTCTCCATTCTCCTCTCGGGATCTTGGGCACGCACACACATGCGCCCGGCGTGAGTTTAAGCCGCCTGGTCCAGGACTCCAACTGCAGTCAACTTCCTGGGAGTCCAGCAACATAACCATTATGCCATCTGCTGCTCCCTTCCTTTGCTTTCTTTTTGAAATTGCCAGAGATTGTGCTCACCAGAGAGAGAGGGAGAAAGCACCTCTCACTGGAGTGCGGTCATGCCACAATCACAACCCCTTCTCCATTCCTCCATCTTGTCAGGATTTGGAGTATGCATGTGCACACACCTAGCATGATTTTCAAACTGCTGAGGGTGTGATTCAAACTGTGGTCAGCCATGTGGGATCCGGCTCCTTTAACCGTGGGGTTATGGGACCAGCCCCCATTTCTTGTCAAGGTTTTTATTTTTATTTTTTTAGAGAAAGGAGGGTGACTTAATTACTTTTTGTGTTTGTTTTTTAGGTTTTTGCCACAGGGTGCATGTACTTGCTGGAGAGAGACAGAGAAAGCAC